TTTCTATATGTGTATTTTACTGTAAAAACGTTGATCAAATGCAAAAAAAATATACATTTTTACAATTTCCAAGGACACTCAAGTTTCGAAAGTCACCAAACTTGGAAGGCCATTTTCCCTCTGACAACAGGCAATCCCTCAGTTCATTCAGTAGCAAAGATCACGACTTCTATTCAATAAAAAATTATATAAGTATTTGTTTCAACAAAAACAAGACAAAAGAATAAACTCTAAAGTAATACGAAAAATCCCATATGCTCAAAAATTGACAAGCGCCTGGTTGCACTGTCTCGTGACACATTTATTTGTAGTTTTTACGACCTTAAGTTCGACTGTAGAGAAAAGAGAAAAACAAAATCAAGACATAGTATCACTTTGAAATGACATTTATTTATCTACACATTGCAAATGCTTTGAAGATGGCATCGGTTGGGGGGTTTGTTTTTTTTATCATTATCTATGGTTAAAGAAATGTATGGACAAACACATGCAAGAAACTTATATTATTTTCCTTCCACAACAAAATTATTCATCCGTTAATCTTCCATCCTTCCACAGAAGTCGTGGCGCAAAGTAAAAGTCAAAATAATGTCTTGTTTATCATAATACGTTTCTGTCTTGTCAGTACTTTGCAAATCTTCGACATAAATGGAGATCACTCTCCCAATAAATATGCAGACATACAGCTACAATATAATGCATTTGGTAAGTAATCAAACGAAAAATAAGGTATCAGTCTTTCACATAATGGCATCTTTAACTCTGTAGTTGGTTAATATAACAAACAAGCTTGAGTAGATTCCACGATCCAAAAAGTAGTGCATAAGCCTCACTTCAAACAAAACAAATAACGCTGAAATCAAACCATGGCAACGACACTTGAATTCTGAGATCTAACCTCATTTTAAAGTTTAAATCACGTTCAGGAAATCAAAACTAAGGCATGACATGCAATCTAGTCGTCGAAATTTGAATGTGCAAACATAATCCAAATGATTACTGAAATTATTAGTACTCCGTTAATTTCATTACTCTTGCTGATACTCTGTAATTATTCATCTGTTTAAGAGAAATTAATTTTGAAGAGCTGAATAAATTAATATAAAATGCAGATCGTCATAAATATATGTTTTCAGTTATACACGACGTCGTAACGTTTGGATTTCCCAAACCGGCAATTTTCAAACCAAAATTTCATCAACATGAAAACCGAGACAAGTTATAGCTTGTAGTTTTTGCTTGCTTTTTGAGCTCCCACGTGAAAAAAAGAAAGATTTTAAACCAAAATTCATTTCGCAAAATACGCACACAGTCAGATAGCAATAACTGGGCCCATACACGCTCACACGAGTGTATATTGGTGTGCATATTTGTGAAACGATTTAGTAATTTTCTTTTTTAATTTGTACAAAATACATATGTGCAAGAAACAACGCGCAAAATTCATAATATTAAACTGAATGTCCAACTTCTTCCTCTTGGGGTCACTCATTCATCATAATATCTTCACACTGCATTTGTGCTCACAAGCTTGTCCTTGCCCATCTATTGCTTTTTCATTCATAGTAGGTCAAAACCTCTTACCAAATGGAGGTGGAATATCCATCACTTCGACGTGACTCACTTATTGGAGACGAGAGAAGCGTCAGTTCAAAAACTGTTTCAGGAGGAAAAAAGTAAGTCTAGCTTAATTCATCCACAGCTCTCTCTCTCTCTCTCTCTCTCTCTCTCTCTCTCTCTCTCT